TGACGGAGGAACAAGGGGGAGGAGAAGGGGGGAAATGGTGGGGGAGAGGGAGAGAGGCAAACCATGAGAGACTCTTGAATGCCGACAAAAACTGAGGACTGATGGATGTGGGGGGGAGGGGGGGATGGGCACGGAGGAGGACACTTGTGGGGATGAGCACTGAGTGTTATGTGGAAACTAATTTGACAACAAACTATTTGTAAAAAAAAAAAAAAAAAGTTTAAAAGAGTAACTAGCATATGCAGCCCAGCTTCAGTCAGCCAGCAAAAGTGACCAAGCACACACAAGTCTGCACAGGGGACACTATACATAAGTACCATACACCATCCTTCAAGTTTAGGAGCAATAGCCATTCTCCCTAATCCACAGAAACAAACTCAAGCAAAATGCTCTTAAAAAAAAAAAAAAAAAAAAAGAACTAAAACCACAGAAAAAGAACTAAGTGAAACAGACAAGTGACATGCCTGATAAAGAGTTTAATGATTATAAAGATACTGGGCTGGAGAAAAACATGGAAGATCTCAGTGAGACTTTCAATGAAGATATAGAAAATATTAAAAAGGGCCAATTGGAGTTGAAAAATACACAAACTGAGATAAAACCACACTAGAGGGAAGGAATCAACTATTGATTCAAGGGTGCAGAATATACCAACAACCTGGATGAAAGGGTCATGGAGAGCATACAAGCTGAACAGGAAAAAGAAAAAGGAATTTTTAAAACAATCATAGATTAAGAGATCTCATGGACAACATCAAGCAAACAAACATTCCTGTTATAGAGGTCCCAGAAGAAAAAAGGTATAGAAAATTTATTTGAATAATAAACTGAAAACTTCCTTAACCTAGGGAAGGAAATAGACATCTAACTCCACAACAAATTCCAAACAAGATGAACCCAAGAAGGCATATAATAATTAATTAAATATAATAATTAAAATGTTAAAGGTTAAAGATAAAGAGAATCTTAAAAGCAGCAAGAGAGAAAAAAGTTACTAAGAAGGGAAAATCTGTAAAGCTCTCAGCTGATTTTTCAGCAGAAACTTTGCAAGCCAGAAGGAAGTGACATATTTAAAGTGCTTAAAGAAAAAAACCTGCTGCCAACAATAGTCTACTACGCAAGATTATCATTCAGATTTGAAGGACAGATAAAGAGTTTCCCAGACAAATGAAAGATAAACGGAGTTCATCACCACTACACCAGCCTTACAAGAAATGTCATACACCACACCAACAAAATGAAGGACAAAAAGATCATCTCAAAAGATGTGGAAAAAACACGTGACAAGTTTCAACATCAATTCATGATAAAAACTCTCCAAGTGGAGTTAGAGAGAAAATACTTCAACATCATAAAGGCCATATATGAAAAACCCAAAACTAACATCATACTCAGTGGTGGAAAAACTAAGAGTTTTCCCTCTAAGGTCAAGAACAGGATAAGGTGCCGGGAGCCGCACTGGCCTCTCTGGATGGCAGTCACAGCAAGGAAATGGCAGTGTTTGCACAGCTACTGCCATGAGAAATGATAACTGGTATCTCCTGCTACTACTGGCTCATGTTGTGCTGGTATTGACCAGGCCTCACAATACTCCATATCAGACCAATATTCTGAACACAGATACCTCATAAGGAAAAGCATATTCCTGCCTTTACAAGAGAGATTTTAGATGAAAGCTCTACAGATGATTGTCAAAAGGCTCTTCCTGAGGGCCTTGCAGATCCAACACTTAGGGGGTTAAGAACACAAGAATTACAACTGAGCCTGGCCCCGAGACAAAGAGCCTAATTTAGAGTTAAGGTACAGATAAGGGCAGAACTTAAGTTAATACTTACACCTTCTCCTAATTGGTGATGTAGGGCAGTCCCTTCCCCAAGGCCTACTTTCTGCAAACACCCTCCCTTACAGGTGGCTGGGATGAGGATAGATAAGAGGAGCTAAAGCATTACCCACAAACAAAAGGCTGACACTTTTAGGGCCTCCATGGTGTTCACACATTCAGCATCAAATAGGTTTCCACAAACAACTTATTAACCAACTCAAAAACATACATTTGAGAGTCAGACAGAATGACTCTTAGCCCATCTATACACTTAACCGATGACCTAACCTTAGGGTTATTAACTTAGAACAAATATGTATCCTGTCTTTTACTAAGAATACCCTGTTAATTCTTTAGTTATAAGATTTACTTAACCTCACTATAATTGGAATAATTCTGCAAGAATATTTCTGTAAAACCTGCTTCTGTACACTTTCCAAAGCATCTTATCACAAAGAGCTATCCATTGTAAAAATTCCTTTTTCTGATGTCATGTTATCATTTAACCTATAAATAAAGACACCAAAACCAACAGGACAGAGATGCCTGCCTGGTGATCAGAAAGGATCTCGGGGCTCTCTCACTCTCTTTCGCCGACACCGTCCATCCTTCAGGGACCCCTGGACCTGTCGGAGCCGGCGCGGCCTCCGGCAATAAGGATATTCACTCTCATCATTTTTATTCAAATAATACTTGAAGTCCTAGCCACAACAATCAGACCTAAAAAGAAATGAGGCATTTATGTGGGTAAAGAAGGAATTAAACTGTCATTATTTGCAGCCAACATGATACTATAGAAATAAAATCCTAAAGATTATACCAAAAAGCTACTGGGGGTAATAAATTCAGGAAAGTGGCAGGACACAAAATTAATACCCAGAAACCAGTAGCATTTCTATACACTAACCATGAAGTTGCAGAAAGACATTAAAATGTCATTTACAACAGCACCAAAAATAAATATCTAGGAATAAACTTAACCAAAGAGGTGAAAGACCCATACTCTAATCAGTATAAAGTACTGATGAAAGAAACTGAACAGGACACAAACCAATAGAAAGACGTTCCATCATGCTCGTATTAATATTGTTAAAACGTCCACATTACCCAAAGCAATCTACACACTGAATGCAATCCATATCAAAATACCAACAGCATTTCTCACAGAATTAGAATAATACTAAAATGTGTATAGAACTACAGAAGATCTGAATAGCCAAAGACATTTTAAGAATGAAGCTGGAGGTACACAATTCCAGTTTCAAGATATACTACAAAGCTGTAGCAATAAAAGCAGTATGGGACTGACACAGAAATAGACATACAGATCAATGGAGCAGGATAGAGACTTCAGAAATAAACCCACAATTGTATGGTCAATGAGTCTATGACAAAGGAGGCAAGAATAGACCATGGGGAAAAGACAATCTCTTAAATTAATAGTACTGGGAAAACTGGACAGCTACATGCTAAAGAATGAAACTGGACAATTTTCTTACACTATATACAAAAATAAACTCAAAATGGATTAAATGTAAGACCTGAAACCATAAATAGCATGGAGGGGGACACAGGCAGTAGTTTCTCTGATATTAGCAATAGCAACATTTTTCTAGATAAGTCTCCTGAGACTAGGAAAACAAATGCAAAAATAAACTACTGAGACTACACCAAAAATAAAAGCCTTCTGCACAGCAAAGGAAATCACTGACAAAACAAAAAGACAACCTACTGAACGGGAGAAGATATTTACAAATGAAAGGTCCAGTAAAGGGTTAATAGTCAAAATATGTAAAGAACCTCTACAACACCAAAAAACCAAACAATCCAATTAAAAAATGGATGGAGGACCTGAATAGACATTTTTCCAAAGAAAACATACAGATGGCTGACATATGAAAAGATGTTCAACCTCACTCATCATCAGGGAACTGGAAATCAAAACTACAAGGAGATATCACCTGACACCAGTTAGAATGGCTAAAATGACAAGAAATAACAAGTGTTAGAAAGGATGTAGAGAAAAAGGAGCCATTGAGCACTGGTAGGTAAATTTGTGTAGCCACTGTGGAAAACAGTGTGCAGTTTCCTCAAAAAATGAGAAAGAGAAATACAATATGGTCCAATAATTCCACTATTGGATATTTACCCAAAGAAAGCAAAAATACTAATTTGAAAAGATACGCACCCCTATATTTATTGCAGCATTATTGTAGCCAAGATATGGGAAAAACTTAAGTATCCATCAATAGACAAATGAATAAGGAAAATGTATACACACATGCATGAGTATTACACAACCGTGAAAAAGGATGAGATCGTGCCATTTGAGATAGCATAATACCTTCCACTTCCATTCATGTTAAGTGAAATAAGCCAGAGAAAGACAAATACCATAGGAGGGTTGGGCAAAATAGCTGAAGGGAAAAGGGACATACAGGCCTCCAGTTACGTAATGAATAAGCCATGGGAATGAAAGTCACAGCATAAGGAATATAGTGAATGATGAGACAGGTGGTAGCTACATTTGTGATGAACACAGCCTAATGTATAAACTTGTCAAATCACCTTGTTATATACCTGAAACTAACATAACATGTGTCAACTATACACACACACAAAAAAAGATTGTCGTATTATAAAAAAATAATTCTGCCCAAAGAAAAGCCATTTTCTTGTAAAAGATAGTTCTTTCCCCCAGATTTTGATATCAGTAATGGAAATATTTCATGGCTTCCCAAGAAAGAAATGCTCCCCATCCGTGAAGCAGGGTGGTATTGATTCTTTCTTCTCTATGATAATCTTATGGAAATCACTTTGTTATGAAGATTGAACAAAGTATTATGAGATGAACAAAGTATTATGAGATCATCTCATCTTCAACAATAATGATAATTCAGAATATTGACAAGAGACATTTAAGAAATTAGGTATTTGTTAAATTTGAAACAATTATATATCCCCTTCCCTTACTGAATATTCAATTATAGATTCTTTAAAATGCTTTAGAAATGTTTTTAAGGTTTTATTTTTGAGAGAGAGACAGAGCGTGAGTGAGGGAGGGAGAGGCAGAAAGAGGGAGACACAGAATCCCAAGTAGGCTCCAGGCTCTGAGAGGGGCTTGAACTCACAGACCGCGAGATCATGGCCTGAGCTGAAGTCCAACACTTAACTGACTGAGCCACCCAGGTACCCCTCTTTAGAAATGTTTTAATTGCTTCTACCTGAGAGCTAACTTTTACACTAATTTAAATAAATAAGGTAGGACAAACCACGATAAAAGCAAACAAAGCATAATATTTATTATATTAACATCAGCTTCTCCTTTTTCCATCCTTTCTTATTTTCTATTAGAAATTTTTAAATTCTGGTTTTCTTTTTAGCTATGAGTTCATTATATTTCTGGGCATGGAGTTAGAGAGTATGATCCAGGTAGGGTATGCTAAGTGTTATGTGCAGGAACTAAAAATTCCAAGAGCTGGGTATACACATACCTAACTGCTACACTAAGCAACAGAATTTCTTGACAAACTAATGTAGAAAACATTCAGGATTATATGAAAGTTTGCAAAGTGCCTGGTACAATTTGACTTTTTCACTATAAATTGTGAACAAGGTAGTTCTGTTATTATAGTCTCTTCACAGTAAAGAATAATTGAAGGAGATACTTGGGAAGTACGCAGACGTTTGTGTGTGCATGTATGTACATTTCAAAAATGATGTACATTTATAAGGACTTTATTTGCATAATATATATTCAAAGACCTCTCATGGAAAATGGCAGAGCACTATACAATTTAGCTCTTTCTCTAAAGATTATGCTTTTAATGTGATTTTTAAAATTTAATGGTGGCATTCTCAAAATGATGAAATATAAACCATAATACATAGGAAAATGATAATTCAAAGGGCCCTTGGGTGGCTCAGTAAGTTAAGCATCCAACTCTTGATTTTGGCTCAGGTCATGATCTCACGGTTCTGGGGTTCAAGCCCTGCATCAAGCGGTGCAGAGTCTGCTTGGGATTCTTTCTCTCTCTTGCTCTCAAAATAAATCAACTTTAAAAAAAAGGAAAATGATCATTCAATAATTCTTTATTCTGCAAAAATACAGATTTTTTAATTTACCAATACTAAAGCAAATTCGACTGAGTCAGTTTAATTTTTTTTTTTTTTACCTTTGTGATAGTAAATAGGTAGACTCTTCCTTCCTCTTTCTTTAGGTCATTCATGTACATAGGTGCACCCACCAGGAGCACATCTGTAACACTGTCTTTATTCACGTCAACTGAGCACAGCACACTACCAAAATAGGAGCCAATCTGTAATGATAAAGTGTATTAACCTTAGAATTCCTAGGACTCATATACTCCTATACTGCACTTTCATTTACTCATTCAACAAACAGAAATTGAGCACTTCCTACCTGTAAGATGCTAGAAACATTAAGATAGATAACATAGTCCCTTTTCTCAGGTTGTATCATGATGTGACACCTGGTTCTTAAACCTTTGTGTGCACACAAATCATGAATAGAGACCCTGGATGGGTGCAATCCAGAAAACAGTATGTTAAATAAGCACTCCAGGTGTTTCTGATGCTGGTGGGTCAAAGGCCACATTTAAAAGAAACACTTAGGGGGTTTGTGACGTGTGTTGTAGAGAAAGGCAGGAGGAGGAAGAGGGAGTTAGGACAAATGGCTTTGCCTGTGTGGTCAAGTAGGTTGTAGTAGAGGCAAGGACCAAATGCTGTGTGATCAGAGTGTAGGAGTCAGGAAGGCTCAAAAACATTGTTATATAAATGGCGTCTTAAAAAACAAGGAGTTTTCTAGGTGGAGAAGAGTGGGCAGGCATGTGTGATGAAAGTGTCCGTGGCATGATCTTGCACAAGAGACAATTTCTCAGATACATTGGGACAGGGGAACGGGTGGAGATATAATGAAATAAGAGGCTGAGAATCTGAATTTTCATCACACGCCTATGTGAATACCTCTTAAGGCTTTGGCAATGAACAAGAAAGGATTCATATTAGAACATGGTCATTGTTTTTCTTCAAAATAAAAGCAAACTTCTTTAAAATATTAAAGAGAGAAAAGTATGCGGCCATAGTTGGTTTGTGGTCAAGGAAGTCAAAGACTCAGGTCCTCTTACTCCCAGAAAACCCATAGATGGTAGGCTCACACTTGATCCAAGAGAAGGGAACACTAGCTGGTTTCTCTAATTCAAGGAAGGAAAATTTGTTTGTGGTCAGAGATCTGGCACTATTTCAAATATGTGCCAAGCCTGTGGGTTAAAACTGTTCGGTGAGGAAATAGGAATTTATCAGCTGGCCTTTGCTCTCTTCAGCCATGATTGGGGGTCATCACAGGTTCTGACTATCAAGTTGTCATGCTGAGAAGAAAGTGGTGGAAAAGACAGTTGCTTTAATTTTAGAAACATCAAAGCCACAGGACACCTTGACAGGCCCAGATACAGTAGCTCAGTCTTGACAACGCTATCCCGCTTCCTTTTTCCTCATTTTTCCTCCAGATCGTCGGCTCCTTGCAGGAGCTTGCCAACAAAGCTGTGGTTAGGTGCCTGTCATTAGGACTCAATAATACACATGTATTAGTAATCTAGGGACTCAAAAGTATGCAGTTGGATATAACCAAACAGCACAGGCTTTGCGTCTACACAGGACTGAGTTTTAATGAGGGCATAACCCCATGGAAGCTCTCTGACCTTAAGAAGGTAAATGCTCAGTAACCTGCTAGAAGGGGATGGATCCCAGTGTTGTGAAGATTTAAGGAATATTCAAGTGGATACAGATCACAGAAGCAGCCACAGCACAGGCACTTAATGCCAGTTTCCTTTTCTATCAACTCCCCACTCCTCATCTGCGCCAGTTCACTCCATTAGTTTCACCTGCTACAAAATGGGCTTTACCTGGTCACCTCGGTGAGCTTGAATAATGGTGACATTGCCATTCTCATTAACCCTGTATAGCACTATCTGGCCAGTATAATTTGCCCGAGGAGCACCAGCAACAAAGTGAATGCCTTTTCCAGTAGAAATCGTAGCCACAGAGTAACCTAGGAGAGAAGGAGTTGCAGAGTAGGTATTATTGAAGAGCTCAGCAGATAGGCTCCCAAAGTTAGTAGAAATGTCCAGAGGTCCTTTTTCATTTGAAAGTGGAGGAGGATCAGTAACGTATCCTCCAGACTGAGAAGGTCAATACTGAAAAATATTTATCAATACTGAAAAATATTTTTCAATATTGAAAAATGAAGCAAGCCACTCCATATTGTTCACACAACGTTTTATTCAAGGTATTCAAAGTAACTTACCAGCAGGGGAGAGGATGAGGTGCAGATGGACGGAGGATCCAGGGCACTACACAACTCTACTACGCAGCTATTCCCCACCCCTGCTCAGGCCTTCATCTCCAGCTTTTATGGAGGGAGGGACATGGTGGTGAGGTCATAGGGTAGTTATCTAAAGTGGCACCATGTGCACCAGAGCATGGCTACTAGTTGTATAAAGTGGTGCCACATGTGCCAGAGGGCATTCTGCTGCTTATCTAAAGTGGTGGCATCTGGGGGCACCAGTTAAACACTGGACTTCACCTCAGGTCATGATCCGATGTTTCTTGGGTTCGAGCCCCGCATCGGGCTCTGTGCTGAAAGCTCAGAGCCTGCAACCTGCTTCAGATTCTGGGTCTCCCTCTCTCTCTGCCACTCCCTTGCTTGCTCTCTCTCTCTCTCTCTCTCTCTCTCAGAATGAATAAACACTAAAAAAAATTTTTAAGTTGTAGAATCTGTGTGCCAGAGGGGAGAACAAGACAGAGGGTCAAAGATGAAGTCAGCGATCAGCGCTCCTTCATAGCGACACACAGTTCTAAGTGTGCCTGACAGCACTGCTCTACACAGGTGGGACACTTACCTGTAAAGCAGGCCCTAGATTCTGGGCTGTCCTATCAGCCACTCAGGAACTTGGCACTGAACAAGTATTTCTTGAATACATGAATTTAAAAGGTAATGGAATGCAGTGGAAAGAACATAGGCTATGGAGTCAGACAGTCCCAGGTTCAAATTCTGGATTTACCACTTGCTAAGTTTTTTGCCTTTGGGCAAGTTATTAACCTCATTGGCTCTCCAAGGTAAAATGGGGATAATAATACTTTCTTCAAAGGGTTGTTGGAAGGATTTAAATGTTTATGTAGATAAAATAGCCAGCTCAGGAAGTATCCCATAGTAGGTACTCAAAATCAGTGGCTGCTTATTATAGGAACAAAGAAAGACTAAGAACTCTAAATTAATATAAGACTGACATTTACTGTATTGGCTTCTAGGAACTATTTCCATTTGGGAGAAGCACAAGCAGTTCCCAGGAATAACCCACTGCTCAAACAGCCAGAAGACGTCAGGAAGTGTAATACATTAAATAATGTGTCATTAAATAGTTAAATAGTTATAGGCTAAGGTCTGATTTGCAAAGAGGCAACATAAATATGTGTAATAAATATAATAATTAGATGACACTTCAAGGGCTTTCCTGAAAGGATCTTAAAATTCAGTGAGGGGTAGTTTTAAAAAAGGGAACTTAAATTTACTGAGTCAAATGCTGCTATGCCTTACCTAAGTATGAACTGTGATTTTTATCTTGCAGAATTTGGTCAAAGGCTTGTTTAGGAAAGATCAAATGTCCATGAGATGTCTGCTGGACCACAGTACCACTCCAGGCATAAGCTCCTACTGCACCCAGCATCAGAATATCCTAAAATAATTGAAAAATGAAGATCATGAAAACAAACCTCCTTTAAGGCAAGAGAATACAGAGTAGGCAAAACACGGAAATAAATGGTCTAGATTTAAGGAGAAGATGATGAAGCAAAATGTAGATGAATGTATGTCCAAATTGATATGTGTCCAAATTGTTTTAATATATTTTGTGCTGGAGGAAAGTCTTCCCCAAGACTGTGTTACCTTGATACATTCTCTAGATAAATCTCTATTATGCTATAGGAGAAGCATGTGGCCATCTTCCAATTTCCATTCAGGGGCCCCCATCTGCAAATGCTGAACAGTTAGGAGCTGTTAGGAAGAATGAGAAATGAGCCTCCTACCTCACACAGTCATAAGAAAAGCTCCCAGCCAGATGTGGGGCATGCTTGAGAAATAGGAAGTGCAGATGGCAGAGGAAGAGAGGTGTGGCGGTTCCGCTATCCAGGCACATCATCCTCGCAGGCCCCTTCTGACCTATTCTATTTTCAACATTCTTTCTCTTTCCTCTTGGTCCCTTCTCAGACGTTCCTCCATCATCTATATCCTATTCCATCTACTTGAAGACAGCTCATCTATGAAAGGTAACGAGCATGACATTCAATCTACTTGGAGAACAGGCACTGGTCAGCACAGCGGGGTGGGCGGTGGGGGGGCGGGGTCCACAAAAAGAACGGACTGCTCTGGATGGACTCAACATCCAACCGGAACAGTCAAAGCTATACATCATCACAAAAGGCAGGGGTTGTCAGGATGGGATTTATCATTTTTTAAGTTTTTGATCTTAGATCTTAGAAAACACCAAAGATATGGATTTTGGATTGGAAAATAGAAGCTATTAAAAATATAGCAAGTTGCAAAATGATGTGTCCCAGTTTGAGGACAAGAGACCATGAAATGAGAATGACTGTCATAAATTTGGGACTCTGAATCAGGGGTGCAGGAAGGGACTGTAGGAAATGTACAAAAACCTCAGGAAAGTATATGCAAAATTCTCTGTGTGAGGGTTCATTTACATTTTTTTCTGAGGGAAAACCATAACTTTTATGAGTATCTCTAACGATTGGTGATCCAGAAAAAGTTAGCACTTTGTATTCTCGAGGAAAAACCCCAAGCCATTCCTGATCCTTCCTCTGGCCATCAGATCCTCTGAGTTCATACTGACCCCTAGGCTTTTCCAGGGGCACCTAGGTCTGTGCCCCCTTACTACCCCACCAGGACTCTACAGAGTTGGAGTCAGAGCCCTAGGAAGTGGATGTTTATGAGAAGGAGGAATGGATCTTCTGAGCTAAGAAGACGTCCCACCTCACATGTTTCCTAACCCCTCACTTGTTCACCTATCTTCTGTCTCTGCTCTTAGAAAAGAGATACGCTGGCAACTCAGAATTCACCAATGGCAGCGCTAACAAGAGTTTGTGGGGGGTTTTTTTGAAATTTTTTGTCTAATATTTTTTTAATTTATTTCTAGGAGAGAGAGAGAGAGCGTGAGCAGGGGAGGGTCAGAGAGAGAGGGAGAAACAGACTGAAACAGGCTCCAGGCTCTGAGCTGGCAGTCAGCACAGAGCCGGATGCAGGGCTCGAACCCACGAACCGCGAGATCATGACCTAAGCGAAAGTCGGACGCTTAACCGACTAAGCCACCCAGGCGCCCCTGTGTTTTTTTTTTTTAAACAAACTTTTCTGGTAGTTAATTGATTTAGAGGAAATTCCTGCAATGACAATTCCTTGACTTAATGCAGTGCCTGTCCTTTGGAGCATTTTCTTTTTTTCCATCAAAAATCTCTGTAAAATGGGGAAGAGAAGGCATTATTATCCTTCACTCTTTAGATGACAAAGCAGCAGCAATGTGTGACAAAGAAACTGAATGACTATGACTGAGAAGCAGAACTGTTGCTTACTAGGTGGCTCTTTTTTCCACTCTCTCTATAAAGCTACTGTGCCCAGAAGTGTTCAGCCAAATGACAGCATGGCTGGGACTTATCTGATATACACACCTTTTGAGGAGAGTAATCTGCGCTGAATCCCACTTGTGACATTTCCATCTGGAAGTTGTCCCCTCCTTGAATAGTACCTGGGAAAAGATAATTTCAAGAATTATACTGCTGTCAAATTTTAAATCAGATTTCCAAACACACGTGTGCACACATATACACATGTGCCTATGCACACGCATGTGCACACACAATGCTCTCATGTTCACTCAAAAATATTCTGGGATGGAGAAATCACTAAGAAGTGTTCTAACTGAGCCTGCGTGGCTCGGTTGCTTGGACTTCCAGCCTCGGCTCAGGGCATGATCATGTGGTCCGTGAGTTAGAGCCCCATGTTGGGCTCTATGGTGACAGCTTAGAGCCTGGAGCCTGCTTCGGATTTTGCATCTCCTTCTCTCTCTGCCCCTCCCCAACTCTCATTCTGTCTTGGTCTCTCTCTCCAAAGCAAATAAACATTCAAAATAAATTTAAAAAAAAAATAGAAGTTACCTAACATATATGAGAACCCACAATACTTCCAAGGTGGTGTTTCAAGTTGGTCTTAAACTTGATTATGCATTAATGCATTTATTTGCATGCTTATGATGTTCTTGATATCAAAAACACTCAATATAGGGGATGAGGTAAGCTAAAAGTGCGTGATGGCCTTTTTTTAAAAAAAAAAGAATATTATTACTAGTTAAGAAACTAATTGAATTTTTAGCTTTTAAATATTGGTCCTAATGAGTGCACACACATCTCAGATGCAGTTGGAAAAGCCAGGCAGCTAATGCGTCATGAAGACTAAACAGACAGACATTTGGGTGAGGCTTCAGGATCCAGGATTCGAGATTGAGTAGAAATTTTACCAACTGGGAAGTTTGTCCTACTTCTACATACGTGCTTGTCTCTGACACTAGAACTGTAGGACTCAGTGCAGTCAAAATGGTTACATTTCGTTAATCTTCACAAAAAGGAATAAATTCCTAGACCAACAGTTTGATACAGAGAATATATATATACATATATATATAATATATAAAATATGACACAGTCACTTGTTTAGAAGATGTATTAATTTACACAGGATGAGAAGAGATTCATTTTTTTTAAGATTTTATTTTTTGGGGCGACTGGGTGGCTCAGTTGGTTAAGCATCCAACTTTGGCTCAGGTCATGATCTCACGGTCTGTGGGTTCAAGCCCCACGACGGGCTCTATGCTGACTGCTCAGAGCCTGGAGCCTGCTTCAGATTCTGTGTCTCCCTCTCTCTGCCACCCCCATCCCCTACCCTGCCGCCGACTCGTGCTCTGTCTCTCTCAAAAATAAGTAAACATTAAAAAAATATTTTTTAAAGATTTTATTTTTAAGTAATTGCTACTCCCAACATGGGGCTTGAAATCAACCCCAAGATCAAGAGTCACATGCTCCACTGACCAAGCCAGCCAGGTGCCCCAAGGCAATATTTAATAAAGTAAAACAGTGCTTCCCCAAAATTCATAATAGCAGATAAGGCACACAATCATTTCTAATTAGCATTTAGGTTGCATTGTGATTATTCATGTTTATGCCACCACAAACAAGCATAAGTTGTGCCATAGGAAAACAAATAACTTTATATTATCTCAGAGCACTCTGGATTTTGATGATGATTTAAACAGCTTAGAAGTATCATCAGATGCAATCATCTGTTGATGGACACTTAGGCTCTTTCCATGTTTTAGCTATTGTGGAGAGTGCTGCTATGAACATTGGGGTACATGTGCTCCTATGCCTCAGCATTTCTGTATCCCTTGGGTAAATATACCATGGAATACTACATGGCAATGAGAAACAATGAAATCTGGCCATGTGTAGCAACATGGATGGACCTTGAGGGTGTTATGCTGAGCGAAATAAGTCAGGCAGAGAAGGACAAATATCATATGTGTGCACGTATAGGAGGATTAGGAGGAACTTGACGGAGGAACAAGGGGGAGAAGAAGGGGGGAAATGGTGGGGGAAAGGGAGAGAGGCAAACCATGAGAGACTCTTGAATGCTGACAAAAACTGAGGACTGATGGATGTGGGGGGGAGGGGGGGATGGGCATGGAGGAGGGCACTTTGGGGATGAGCACTGAGTGTTATGTGGAAACTAATTTGACAATAAACTATAAAAAAATAAAAAAAATTAAAAAAAAATAAAGTTACTAAACATAAAAAAAAAAAAGTATCATCAGATGCTTAAAGAAGCAAATAAGAAGAACTTTTGGATAGACGTCTCCAGTGGACAATCAGGAGATAAAGATAAGACTCAAAAATTAATGCTTAATTTATGTAATGCCCTTGGATCCAGCTTCTGAAAGATACCTGATATGTAGTAGGTGCTCAATAAAATAGGCTCTTTACTGCTGAGAGTTATTTGAACTAACCACCAGGAACCAGAATTTGGACCATGTGGTACTTTTTACCAACTAGGAAATGTGTTCCATACAGTGAGTTCTTAAACATGGGGTATTTCTAGACTGACTAGACCTTCCTATGCCATACAAGTCAATTATTATAGATCTGGTAAGTAACAGGTTTCCTTGAAATCTGAACTATTAAAAATCTTTCTAACTTTAAATGTACATATGTTTGTTGTAAACAAATTCAAGATTTTCAGAAATTATATAACAGGATAAAAAGGTAAAACTTTCTATGATTATAAAATATGGAGTGTAAAAAGGTAAAACTATTTATAATTATAATAGATATGACTAAATTGCCCTCCCCCAAAGCTATACAATTTATAATCTTAACAATTGTATATGAGCTTCTATGCTTCCCCATAATATCTCCAAGATGATATATTACTAATCTTTGTTATCTTTTAGGCACAAAGTAACATTGACTTAATCTATATTTTAATTTTTTTTTTTTTTTACAAATAGTTTATTGTCAAATTAGTTTCTACATAACACTCAGTGCTCATCCCCAAAGTGCCCTCCTCCATGCCCATCCCCCCCTCCCCCCCAGACTTAATCTATATTTTAAAACAATTACTGAAATTGGGAATATTTTCTTGTGTTTACTAGCCATTTGTATCTTATCTTTTATAAACTACTTATTCATGTTGTCTGCTTTTCTTACTGATTCACTGGAGTCCTTTCATATAAGTTATGCAAGTTAACGTTATTAGAGTAAATATACAGTAATAAAATCAAGACTGCTTGAAAAAAATTTTGAAAGATGGAGTTCTTTTACCTTCAATGCTAAAAATTTGTTCTCCGAGTGTACCAGCCTTTTCTAGTAGAGCTGCTTCATCAGACACATTGAAAAAATATCTTTCTGTTGGAATACTGGCAATTGCTTTAATTTCTTTTATTAAATTTTTAGTGTCAAGGGCATTTCTGTTTAAGTACCCAAGAACCTTGAAAAATAGAAGAAGAGAGAATAAAAGATCATTACAGTTGTACTCCATTATCCCCTTATACTTTCTAGTATTATATTTCTGAAAAGAACAGGGCCTCTAGGGAAGTAAATCCATACCCCGTTAGTCAATAGGACTAAAAATCAACAAGAAGCAGAGACCAGGTAAATATTTTCTTTTCTTATAAAGTTGTGAGGAGCCAATGAGAGCGTGCAGTCTTGGGAAGTGATATTACAAAGGAGCACTTACCCATCAACTGAAAGACAACTAAAAAAGAAAATCTACTTACCGCTATGCCAAACCTCAATATATTGTCATTGTTGCATTCATCAATCACGGCCTTCAACATGGAACCATCATGCGATTCACCATCAGTTACAACCACCATTACTTTGGTAGCACCTGGTCGTCCTCCGGCAGCTGCCTTATAAGCGAAATCTCTGTGGCAGACAAAATTAGAAACTCACTATCAAAAGATGAAGCTAATATGTGGACCTCTGGTTAGGAATTAAACTAACTTCTTTTTGAAGTTAATTCTGAAACTAACTTCTTTGAGCATGACCTACTGTGACTTAGAATTTCTATGTCAGTTCTGGTGACATTTACCTACATTCTATTTGCAGCCTAAAAGGAAATAGATATACATCTTGCATAGTTTCCATGGTGTGTGTGTGTGTGTGTGTGTGTGTGTGTGTGTGTGTACACAGGCACGCCTGTGTGAGTGGGGGCTGGGGCAAAGACAGAGAGAGAGAATCTCAAGCAGGCTCGCCTGGCAGCTTGGAGCCTGTCGCAGGGCTCCATCTCACAAACCATGAGATCATGACCTGAGCAGAAATCAAGAGTCAGACGCCTGACTGAACCACCGAGGAGCCCCTGGAAAGGTATAAAATAAGAATGTAGGGGCAATTGGGTCACTCACCAGTCAGTTAAGCACCTGACTTCTGCTCAGGTCATGATCTTATGGTTTGTGAGTTCAAGTCCCACATTGGGCTGCCTGCTATCAATGCAGGGCCCACTTCAGATCCTCTGTCTCCTTCTCTCTGCCCCTCCCCTGCTCGTGTGTCCATGCACACACTCTCTCTGTCAAATGGACATTAAAAAAATGTGACACCAAGTCACTGTTCCAAAAGAAACCACTTTTATCAATTTATGCTTCCTTATAGAAAATATTTTATCTAGATCTATGTGCATAGTCTATTCCTCAAATGTTCACACAAATGGGGGCATAGTCTATACAGTTGTTTTTCATTTTCATGGAGCTCTTTCTATATCAGCACATACAAAGCTCTTCTTTTTTAATGACTACATAATATCTCATTATTTGGGGTAACCATAGTTTTACCAATTCTTCATTATTGTGCATTTAGGGCATTTTGAATTTTACAAGTAATACTGTAATAAATGTCTTTGGGTATATATCTTGGCATACTTTTCCAACTGTGTCATTAGGATAAAATCTTAGTAGTGAAATTACGGGGACAAAGGATTTACACATTTCAAATGTTGACAGATTGTCTTCTAAAAATTTCCAATATATATTACGATAATGTAAAAGAATGCAAGTCTCTCCATCTTCTTTCCTTAACAGTGAGGATTATTAAACTTTTAAATTGGGGGCATTTTGATAAGTGAGAAATGATACATAATTGTTTTAATATGAACCGTTTCATTATGAAGAGATAATGATCATTTTATATTTATTAGCCATTGTATTTTTTTTCTCTATGAACTCTTGATATTTCTTTATCTTTGTCCATTTTTCTTTGGATTGTTCATTGTTTTTCTAATTAGTAAGATCTTTATTAGTCAAAAATTATCTTTTGTCATATATATTATAAATATTTTTTGCAGTTCATTAATCTTTTAAATTTTGGTGGTATTACTTCTGTATAGAAATATAATATTTTGATACAATCAATTTCATTAACTTTTTGTGTGTGTCTTTTATATTTGACCTGGTATTTTAAAAGGATTTTTTATCTTTATGACTCATTTCTTTTAATCACCCAAGTTTTTCATCATCTTTTAATAATTTCATTTTCTTAGATTTAAATGTTTAGGGCAGCTGCAATTTATTTTGACTCAAGGACTGAGTCAGGGATTCAGCTTTATTTTGTTTCTAGATGGGTATCCAGTGGTCCAATAACTTTTACCCTGTCTATTAGATTCCCTTTTGCAGAATGCCACTCACTCCTTTGGGCTACCTACCCCTATAATGATGACATATGAAGGTCCACATCTTTTTCCATTCATCTCTACCATTTCAGAGTTATGTATTCAATGCCTGCTAAATATTTTCACCTGAATGTATAAAGGACACTTTAATTTCAGTATGTTTAAAACTGAGAATATCATTTTATTCCCTAAAACTTCCCTGTATTTTATATAGCAGAATGTAAAAATATAGAAAAATATTTTATATTTGTTACCCAGACAAATTTGAATGCTGTACTTACATGAAATAATTTTTGAGTGAATTATACTCTTCATGAACTCATGCACGATTATAAGATTTCTGAGGGTAGAAACTGTGCCTCATTTGTTCTGATTATCTTCAGGTCTTAGAATAATAAATCAGAACCATAGACACACAACAAAATAAGATAAAAGGAAAAGGAATATTTACTAAAACAGTGTCAAAAAAATTCTATTTGATGTTGTAAAGAAACAGATCAAAGTGGTGGGGAGAAAAGAAAAAGTAAAAGAGAAAGAAAGGTAATTAAATTATGGAAGATGCGGGTAAGAAGTTAAGTGATTCTCACTCAGGGTGCCCAGGTGGCTCAGTCAGTTAAGCGTCTGACTTCGGCTCAGGTCTCATGAGTCTGAGCCCTGCAGCAGACTCTGTGCTGCTCAGAGCCTGGAGCCTGGAGCCTGCTTCAGATTCTGGGTCTCCCTCTCTCTCTGCCCCTCTCTGTTTGCACTCTATCTCTCTCCCTCAAAAATAAACATTAAAATTTTTTTAATTTAAAAAAGAAGTTAAATGATTCTCTTAGCAGCAAGATTTCTATTAGCTTGGGAAACAGCAGTAAAAGATGATGGCACAAGGGAGAAAAGCAAAGTTCTGAATGGACAAAAAAGCTAAAAAAAAGAAAAAAAAAGGTCATATCACAGTGGCCATTCTTCCTGGGAGAAATGCTTACCAGGCCCCAGGCTCCTTACAGAGAAAATACCACATCCATACTTCCTGCTGAAAGCACAAGCCCTCTGCAGTTTGTAGCTTCTTCTAGGCCATTTCCTATGTCAACATACTCTGCTTCTGAGTCTAGTTACTGGACTATAAAGGGCACTTCACCAAATGGCAATAGACCTATTGACTGGCCAGACCTATTGATTGGCCCAAAAGAACATCTCAATAGGGACAATAGAGATTAACCAAACCAATCATATCTTCTCATCTGCTTGTGAGACATCTAGGGAAATCACCGGTTGATAGAAACAGCAACTAGAATATATACCCAGAAAAAAGGAGGAGTGGATACAATAGGAAATGCAGAAATAGAAAGGACAGGATGTGATGACTGACCAGATGTGTGCTATTAAGGAAGAATAGAAAGAATAAAGAAAGCCAGCAAGTGTTTAGTTTGAATGACTGGGGAAAAGGTAGTAGCATGAGTCAAAATGGCAAAGTCATGAGAATGGGTAAGGAAAAGAATAAGGCTGGTTTAGGATGTATTGAATTTGATAAGTGAGCCAACACTCCAGATCAAAGATATTCAGCATTATCTGGATGCCTGTGTGGATTCTGGGAGAGAATTCAGAGCTGACCACATTGCAGTGTGGTGGCCCACACAGGGCTAATGCGGATGCCATGAGAGTGGAGACAATGCCCAACATAAAAGAGCTATATATAAAAAAAGAGGGCTCTATTTAGTGAAGAAAAAACAGGAAAAGGAGCCAGAGAAGAGGCAGAATTGTTGACAAAAAGTTGGCAGGGATTCTAGAAGTTTGTGATGTCATGGCAACTGGGGCTAGAATAGCAGTTTATGTTCACCATCAGCAAATGGCAAGGGAAGCTAAAGAGGATGAGGTTTTGAGGCAGGCCCACTGGGTTGTTGGCTGACAGAGGGCCACATTCACCAAATGTCTCTTCCAATGTTTCAAGGAAGTGGAGGAGGGCAAATAGAATTTTTCAAGGAGTTATGGTAGTGGAAGGAAGAAATGCACAAGATGACAAAGGCAGGAGGTAGGTTTAAAGGAAGGTGATGTTATTGTTCTCATTTATTTTTTAATAGGAGAGTCTTCGGCATTTTTGTAAAGGTATATGATTTAAAGGTCAGGAGTTCTGAGAAAATAGAGAAACTGAGCTAAAAATTAAGAGAGGGTTATACAGTTGTAATGTTCACACTGCCCGGATTATAGTAAGTATAGTGAGCCCATTCCATTCAATTCAGACTCCAAGGTCATTAACATTTAAGAGTCTATGGCCCTTCTTGTGTAGCAACATGGATGGACCTTGAGGGTGTTATGCTGAGCGAAATAAGTCAGGCAGAGAAGGACAAATATCATATGTTTGCACGTATAGGAGGATTAGGAGGAACTTGACGGAGGAACAAGGGGGAGAAGAAGGGCGGAAATGGTGGGGGAAAGGGAGAGAGGCAAACCATGAGAGACTCTTGAATGCTGACAAAAACTGAGGACTGATGGATGTGGGGGGGAGGGGGGATGGGCATGGAGGAGGGCACTTTGAGGATGAGCACTGAGTGTTATGTGGAAACTAATTTGACAATAAACTATTTGTAAAAAAAAAAAAAAAAGAGTCTATGGCCCTTCTTAGTTTGCATGAAGGGCTCCATTAGCTCAAGTTGTCTGTGGCCTCGATAAATACTAACAAATAATTGCAGATTGCTCCATTTCCTACTTAACCTAGGTCTTTTAATGTTGTTTCATTTATTTTATATAAAATCTTCTTTAAAAATCACATAATATCTTATAAAAATCCTAGAAATCAAAGACTTTAAAATTTCATTTCCTAGTGCTTTCTCAAAGTGTTCAAATGACAGAATGGTTGAATTTTTCTTCATTATTTCTGATTTAAATATGGGCACTAGGTATGTTATTCTTCTTTGTCCTTTTTTTTCCTTTCTTACTTACAAGCACTTCTATTTTATCAAAATATTGGGCTATTTGCATAACTTACTTTGCATATTGAATTGCTTTGAATGTATTTGTGAGATCTCCACCAAATTGGTATGTCCGGGATGTTGCTTCAATCATTGCATCTTTGGTTTTGAAAGTGTTCAGGTTAAATATAACTCTTGGATTGTTGGCATACTGAATTAACCCCACCTTCAAGAAAGCAGAAGTTTATTAAAGGCTTGTCATTACATTTAAATAATTTCTAATTAACCAATTTAAATCAAAATCAAAAGTGCATTTGGATGTGGGCTGATAGTATAAGGGAATAATTTCCAATTTTGTTCTTAAGAATAGTTATTTTACTTCCAATGGAATGACTTCTTTATTAGAGGCTGTCAGTTATAGCACTAGTACTTGTTGATAAACAAGATCATGTCTTATCATGTAATATTTGGTTCTCAAGAGTAATAGTTATAGATTTTCAACTACAAAAGTTATAGATTATCTGGTAACGGATTATTAAGTACTGTCTGATAATATTTTAGAATGGGTAAATATTAGAATAAAGTTCATAACAGGAAGATTAAAATGATATAAACCTTCTAATTAACAATGGATATAAGCATATAAACAATTATAAGTAGTCATGGATGGAAGATAACAGGTCATCAAATAAGAACAGGTACATAGTAAACAAAGAGTTAGATTTGTGTACAAAAGAAAAAAAATAGTGAGCTAATCAAAACATCAATTTGGATGTATTTATTATTCTGATTTCCTCTAATCACAGACGTTAGCATCTTTGGAAAAAAGCTGCTATATGTGCAAATAGGCAGAAGGTTTCTGGCCTTCAGAGAAAATGCCATTAGGGAGAGTTCTCATTTGAGGAATATGCTTAACTGACTGAGCCACCCAAGGGCCCATCATTTGAGGAATCTGACAAGCGGAATAACTTCTGAACAAGGTTGGGGCACATACCCTAATCCTTTAGATCAAGAAGGCCAAATACTTCTACTAATATCTCAGCCCTGAAATCATCCTCTATGCCTAGGAGTTGGAAGGTTCTAGAGTAGGAAGTGGCAATAAGAGGTCAGTGTTGTAAGAAGGTCTTTAAGATAGAGATCAGTATGTAAGGAAGGTGGAAGTGGTAAGGCCTGGATTTCTGAGTTCAATCAGCTACTTGTGCTAGGAAGCAATCAAGTAGGTACTGGGAAGATGTGAAAAGTATATTTCTGGAGCCCTGTCTTTAGGACAGGATGTAAGACCTGAGAGAGAGGAAAGGGTCGAAAATAACTCTAAGGATTTAAATGTCTAATATGAGAGGAAGATGGTATGACAGTCCCAGAACTCCTGTGTGAGAAAGGGGAATAATGAATAGAAGACTTAAATAAGTGTAGTATATTAGGACTTACAGAAAGGTCAAATTTAGGTTGGAAAAAAAAGAGACTGTGTAAATCATCTCTAGGGATGAATAAGATGCATGGGAGGTAGGAAGACAAGGAGAGGAACGCCATGGATTCCATTCAAGAAACTATTAAATATAGTAAGTCATGTTATGGGGGTAAGTCCATTTAGAGATAGATAAAACAAGCAAATGCCTATGAAAACTTCTCTTACGATGGGACCTTTACAGGATGGTGTCCAGAAATAAATGACATACCTGCTCTTATTCATAAAATTTTCTGGTAAAAGCTCACAGTGAAACTTCCAACGTTTCAGTGAACATTAATGTCCTCTTGGAATTGAAAAACAACGTCAATGGGAAAACATAATAATATTTTGTAATACTGTACAGGAAAGCAGAAAATCAAATTTCAATATAGCTAAGTGTGAAGGGGAAAATTGTCCAACAATTGTTACTAGATGTTGGACACAAGGCATCAGATGACAGGAACAACCCAAGAACATACACTGGGAACTCTGTCAACTGGCCCTGTTGATATTCGTTCAACCAGAATGACCATGAAAGAGCAAATCCAATAAGAAAGAAAGAAAGAAGACCCAGAACTTTAACAATAAATGTTATTCAGTTTTATGGAAGTGTGAAGCTTCTGTTCCTGAGTTTTGGATGCCTATCTCAAGAAGATAGAAAAGCAAATTAAAGACTCCTTAAAACATGAAGAACTATACAAAATATTAAAAAGTCTTATTCTGTGTAAAAAGAAAGGACCGAGTAAAATATGATAAAAGAGTAAAAAATAACAAGATAGGATCATGCTGTTTATAGACTTAAAAATGTTTAGTTTTGAAAGGGAGGGAGAGAGAGAGAGTGCGCATGGTGCGCACATGCAGAGGGGGAGCAGAGAGATGGGGGAACAGAGGATCTGAAGTGGGCTCTGTGCTGAGAGCCTGATGCAGGGCTTGAACTCACAAACTATGAGATCATGACCTGAGCCAAAGTCTGATGCTTAACGGACTGGGCCACCTAGGTGCCCCTGTCTATTGACTTCTTTATAAAAATCCCAGGAATTCAAGGCCAACAAAAGAAATTAATTTTTAGTCCAGAAAGAATATGTATTGGATTTTAAAATGTATTGATAAATTCATGATTTGTAGGAGGGAAAAATAAGCAACTAAAAAAAGATTAAAATGCCTATCAGAAATAGAAATCTAAGCTCAAACACCAACATTGGGCAACATCATAGACAGAAAAACTCAATGTAGTGCAAATTTCAATTAACTGTCAAGGTTAACATTAAATGCATTTAATGTGGGTATTTGACAAATGGAAAAATTAAGACCTCGTATCTAACAATATTTCCTTAGAATGAAATCTGTGGGTTAGTGTATATATTATTAATATTAATAATAATATATATTATTAATAATTAGTGTATATAGACACATACCTGTGTCTTTGTGGGGCCTATATCCAGGCCTTGGACAAATTTTTCCAAAAAATTCTTTACTGCTTCCCAGGGATAAATACTGTTTGACTCATCACATACAACCACAACATCTATGAGAGAAGGGCAGGCTACACAGGAAAAGATGAAAGAATCAGATTTCCATTGTTAATTCAATCTTCACACTCATATGCAAATAGGACAAAGTAAAATGGACTTGAAGGGTTGGCTTGTATTTGATAAATATGGCCTCTGCCCTCATGTAAGGTATTGCTCGGACCCTCTGAACATTCATCACTTACTCTGAACTGCAGGTGCAAAGCTGGCCAAGAGCTGAAAATCGGGACTGATATCAGAACAAACACCAGTTGCATAATACTGGCTTCCGCACTGTTGTGCCCACAGGGGACCGCACGTCTTCAAAGAAATGAGAACAATGACAAAACACATGGAAAATGTTAGTTTTCTACTTCTCCATTTGTAAAACTCAGATCATTTCTATGATTTCACAAGATACTAGGAATTGTCAACTCTTGAAACTATCAGGTCAAAAAGACCTCTGAGAGAAAGTGCCTCTGAGAGAAAGAACCGACAGAAGTGAGGGAGAAGATGGTGGCTGGGCGGGGAGGCAGGTGTCAGCAGCCTAGGGAGGAACCCTCAGGTCACCCACCAAACTAGAGAAAGGAGGTGTTTTCCTTCATCTTTTATCTCTCAGTTATGTGGGCTTCAGGGGCTTTATCTGTAAATGAGGATAATGTATCTACTGTCATTTAAGGTGTTGTGAAGATTAAATGGTTCTATAGATACAAAACACTTAGAACAGTGTGGGGTAAATAACAAATGGCATGTGGTTGTTAGCCAACATCATTGCTGCAGTTATTCTTTTCTTCCCTCAAAGTTTGTTTATGTATTCATTCTGAGAGAGAGAGGGAGAGGGAGCTCCGGAGGTAGGGGCAGAGAGAGAGAGAGAGAGAGAGAGAGAGGAGAAAGAGGAGAAAGAGAATCCCAAGCAGGCTCCACACTGTGCAGAGCCTGATAGGGGGGCTCAAACCCATGAAATGTTCATGGCCTGAGCAGAAATCAAGAGTTGGATGCTTAACTGACTGAGCCACCCAGGTGCCCCTACTGTTGTTATCTTGAACAAAGGTTATACTATTCATTTATACTATTATATTATATGTATACTCCCACCTATTCTATTTAGCAGGAACCATAAGCCCCCAAGAGCCGGATCAGGCAGGAACTTAAGAGTGCTCTGGGCTGGTATAGATGCCATGGTAAATGAACAGTCCAGGTGTCATACCCAAGGCCAGGCAACCATGGCTCCTGCCCATTGCCAGCCTTGCCAGATCTTCCAAATTTTCAAGGAGAGTTCGAGAAGACAAATTCTTTGTGCCAATCCACTAAACAAACACAAACGAGGTATATGAACTACCAGCTTTTAACTATGCTATAAGGTATTTGAGGACTTCTGATCCCCCTGTTTCCACTGCCTCGAAGTCATCCAAGCTGGCACTTGTCTCCCTTCCCACATCATACATACTCCAATTCTTAATATCTCCATTAACCCAACCTCAGATCCCTCCTTTTCAGCGGCCTTTCAATGCCAAGGATTCCTGATTAAATTGTGATTGAATCACACAGGAAATACTACATTAAATCCTGTTAAAACCGCTAGATGTAAAAGGAGAAAAATGGGAAAGAGAAGTCTAGTCAAAATCTTAAAGAGCATCTACAAAGTTTAACATTATGTAAAGCTGTGGCTCAATTATTAAAATTTAAGAAAAGATGTGAACTTTCAATAAAAAATTTGGAAGAATAAAGGGGAATTTATTTGACCCAGTTTAATTGTTGGTTGCTCAAAGGAAAAGCAGCTGTGATCATATTGCATGAACAGTGAATAAGCCATAGTTCTTTCTCCTATAACACTGGCTCATTCTGCAATTAGTTAGGGGGAAAATCACGATTGATGCCTTTGGTTAGTTTACCAAATGATGAATACCAATTATATTGATTCCTGTATCCCCATCCCCAAGTTGGTTTTTTAAAAATCACCTTGAAAAATAATAACTCATGAAGCGTTCAAGAATTTTTTTTGTTTTAAAAGCAATGGAAAACAGCATTAAGAAGTTGAAATTAGAATATGCCAATTGTTAATGCCAGAACTACATTCCTGCTTTAAGCCCAGAACTTAAGCAGTTTCAAAAAAATGTGATGATTGTCAGCCTTTTCCACATAATTCTTAAGAGTATCTTAAGATTTTGACCTTTTAGGTATGTAAAGGAAGCTTTGGCTCTCTCTGCTTTCCTTCCTCTTCCCTCCTTCTCTCCTTGCTACATTGGTTGTTAACTTAATCTCTTAAATTCTCTTGCAATTTTATTTTACTTTATCTGAATTTACAAATTAAAAATTTAGAAGTGCATCCTGTAATCCCTATATCTCAATATGTTCCTTTTCCTGAATTTATTCAACCTTAAAAGCAAATAAGCAAACAAAAAAGAGGAAAACAATCCTATTTTAAAAACTTTGGAATACAATGAATGATGAAGATTCATTGTGCTATTTATTTATGCTTTGAATTCACATATTATAAGCAATATCTAATTTATTGAGTGGTTCCAATGTTTGAATACTAATATCTATTAGTAAAAGTAGAATGACATTGTTGAAAATTAATTATTTTCTTAGAATAATTCAATTATACACATGGGCTTTTTAAGTTAGCATGTCAATGGTATAGACATAACTAACGTACAGTTAACTTTTCTATGGCTATTTTAACAGGGCAATATAACTGGGATCATCTATGAGTAGGTGGAAATGTCTAGTAAGATTGGATTTTTATTTGCCTTAGACATTTTTTTTTGGTATGGGATGGTTTTCAGTTTTTTATATAGTCAAATAAATCTTTTCAACAATTTCTTATATTATTTCTTCTATTAGTTCTAAGCTTATAAATTCTTCCCTCTTTTAGAAAACTTTCATTTTCTTCCTGTTTTTTTATATTAATTCTTTAATCTGCTTGAAAGTATATTTAGATAAACAAGTTATTAACCAGTGAGTTGTCCCCAAACCACTTGTTAAAGAAGGTATTTCTATTTCACTCATTTCTGATGTTTTCTCACAGCATACTAGAAACTCAATGAGAGTATACACTGACATGATATAAGATGAGAGGCCAAGCCGTGACTTAAATGATCAGATTCACCAAAGGGTTATGGCAAATGATAAAGACAGAAATACTCTTCAGCCTGGAAGTGCACTCTCTGAATTAGCAGTACCTATCTTAAAATTCCTGTGGGAAGAAAAAACGGGACTTGGAATTCTGCTGTTATCAACAAATGCTAAGCACACTTTCCAAAGGTCAAAGGATTGGTGTTCCTTTTGCTACTTTCTTCTAAGACATTCCGTGTCAATGGTTTTGCTGAGTATGTTAGTAAGACTATATAACAACAGACGGGTATGCCATGTTGAATATCCACATGGTATGATTTATCCCAAAGCAAACTCTAATATTTAAATATCAAGATTTGATTTGATAGGTGGGATGATGAGAAGACACTACACACTTTCTTGAGACAGATGAGAATTTGAAAGGTAAACACTCACGAGAAATCCTCCGGTTCCTAAGTTCCTTGTGAGTGTCAAGCCAAGGCTCATGTTGGTTTTCATTTCGGTAACGTTGGGAATGGTTGTAGCAGCTTTCAAAGAGAAAAAGATTTTGAAAAGTGAATAAATCTTCACGATTTATTTAAAGTTGTTAAAAAAAAACACTCCACACCCGTGTTTATGTGTAGCATTGAGTTCAGCGTCATATCCAGGCATTCACATCATATATTCACATGGAGAGAAATAAGAGGCCTTCAGTGACCTGGCAGCTAATACACTGAAATGTGTGAAGCTATTAGGAGGTGGTATCTGGAAAGGGCATAACTTATAGACATTTAAGTTTAAAAATTTTAAAAACAAAGTGCTGGCCAAACAAAACACGTCTGAGGACACTATTCGGTCTCCAATTTGCCAAACCACTCCTTTCAAGTCACAGTGTCTCCATCTAACGCTTTATTCTGGATCAGAAAAAAATATCCTTAAAGCGTTATTTAAAAATGTCATATAGTAGAATCTGGCCCAAAACAGTAGTGAGTGAATTTTAAAGGGAAATTCTGAACAGATGCTCAACATCACTTATCATCAAGGAAATACAAATCAAAACCACAATGAGATACCACCTCCCACCTGTCAGAATGGCTAAAATTAACAATATAGGAAACAACAGATATTGATGAAGATGTAGAGAAAGCAGAACACTTTTGCACTGTTGGTTGGAATGCAAACTGGTGTAGCCACGCTGGAAAGGATTATGGAAGGTCCTCACAAAATTAAAAATAGGGGGCACCTGAGTGGCTCAGTGAGTTAAACGTACAACTACGGCTTAGGTCATGATCTCATGGGTTGTGCGTTTGAGTTCTGTATCAGGCTCTATTGCTCTCAGCTCAGAGCCCGCTTTGGAAACTGTCTCCCTCTCTGTCTTTCTCCTACTCATTCTCTCTCAAAAATAAATAGACATTAAAAAAATTAAAAATAGAACTACCCTATGACTGCAATTGCACTACTAGGTATTTATCTAAAGGATACAAAAGTGCTGATTTGAAGGGGCACATGCACCCCGATGTTTATAGCAGCACTATTTACAATAGCCAAAGTATGGAAAGAGCCCAAATGTCCATCAACTGATGAATGGATAAAGATGTCGTATACATCTAGTGTGTGCATGTGTATGTGTGTGTGTGTGTGTGCATGTGTGTGTATGAAATTTTGCCATTTTCAACACATGGATGGAACTAGAATGTATTATGCTAAGTGAAATAAGTCAGTCAGAGAAAGACAAATACCATATGATTTCACTCACATGTGGAATTTAAGAAATAAAACAAATTAACATAGAGGAAGGAAAGGAAAAATAAGGGAGGCAAACCTTAAGAGATTCTTAAACACAGAGAACAAACTGGCGGTTGCTGGAGGGGTGTTGGGTGGGGGAATGGGCTAAATGGGCGATGGGCATTAAGGAAGGCACTTGTTGGGATGAGTGCTGGGTGTTGTGTTTAAATGATGAACTACTCAATTCTACTCCTGAAACCATTATTACTCATATGTTAACTAACTTGGATTTACCAAAATTTTCATAATGTTTATTTTTGAGAGAGAGAGTGTGTGTGTATGTGAACAGGGGAGGGCAGAGAGAGAGACACACACACAGACTCTGAAGCAGGCTCCAGGCTCTGAGCTGTCAGCACAAAGCCCAATGCGGGGCTCAAAGTTGCGAACCACAAGATCACAACCTGAGCTGAAGTCAGGCATTCAACCATTTGAGCCACCTGGGCATCCCCACTAACTTGGATTTAAATAAGATAAACAATGTGAATAAATAAATAGGAAAATAAAAGGAAGTTATGAACCTAGCCATGTAAAATAATAATCCCCAACTTCCTCTCACTGACCTAGGGCATCATCTTCCGACTGTTTCCATTCTTGAGCTGTGGAACATTGCAATTCTCAATGTATTATTTACTCAAGTTTTCTAATCTCTGCCTAGCCAACGTTTCCACTTTCACTTCTCCTCCTTGACCCAGGGCCATTGTTTTGTTATCTTTACCTAAAGGTCAGTCTTGGAACTCCTTGTTCTCTCTTTTCTTTGTGTCTTCAAGAAAGGAGCAGTCTTTCCAAGATTAATTTTCCCATGGATCAGTGATGTTAATTCCAATTAGTTAATTCTATTCTTGAGGAATAGTTACTCCCTTTTATCACATCCTTCTACTCCCCCTACAAATAGGATTATTCCTTCTTATCAGGAAAATCTTCACTCAACCCTACTATTCCATCGAATTATTTCCCCAATTCTTCACTAGTCAACTTCTATAAACAAAGGTCTACTTTTACTCATAGAACTTATGTCTCACATGCTTCTAAATTCTTTGTGACCCATTTCTCCCCTCAACACTATTAGATTCATACTCAAGGTAAAAAAAAAAAAATTTACAAAATGTGATCTGCTGGAGTGCATAAAGAAAATAACAGAACATTACTGTAATAAAGCTTAAAATTTAATATTTTAAATTTATTTTTTAATTAATTAATCGTTTTTTTAGTTTCAGGAGTAGAATTTAGTGCTTCATCACTTACATATAACACCTAGTGCTCATTCCAACATGTGTCCTCCTTAATGCCCATCACCCATTTAGCCCATTCGCCACCCACCTCCCCCCATCAACCCTTAGTTTGTTCTCCATAGTTAAGAGTCTGTTTCCTAGTTTGTTTCCTCTATTCTCCTCCCTTCCCCTATGTTCATATATTTTGTTTTTTAAATTCCAGATATGAGTAAAATCATATGGTATTTGTTTTTCTCTGACTTTTCTTAGCATAATACATTCTAGCTCCTTTCACACCATTGTAAATGGCAAGATCTCATTCTCTTAATGGCTGAGTAATATTCCATTTTATATAAATCACATTTTCATATCCATTCATCAGTTGATAGACATTTGGTTCTTTCCATAATTTGGCTATTGTTAATTAATAATGCTGCTATAAACATCAGGGTGTATATTACCCTTTGAATCAGTATTTTTGTAGCCTTTGGATAAATACCAGTAGTGCAATTGCTGGGTCATAGAATAGTTCTATTTTTAACTTTTTGAGGAACCTCCATACAATTTTCCAGAATGGTTATACTAGTTTGCATTCCCACCAATGGTGTAAGAGGGTTCCCCTTTCTCCGCATCCTTGCCAACATCTGTTGTTTCCTGTATTGTTAATTTTAATTTTAGTCATTCTGACAGGGATGAGGTGGTATCTCATTGCAATGCTTATTCTTTTAAATTTATTTTTATTTAGGAAGATAGTATGTCAGTGTATGCACATAATTTTTTTAAAAATGAAAAGTACAAGGGGTGCTTGTGTGGCTCAGTTGGTTAGGCATCCAACTGTTGGTTTCAGCTCAGGTCATGATCTTGCTGTTGATGGGTTTGAGCTCTGCATCAGGCTCTTGGCTGACAGTGCGGAACCTGCCAGGGATTCTCTCTCCCTCTCTCTGCCCATCCTGAGCTTTCTCATTCTCTCTCAAAATAAATAAATAAACTTAAAGAAAAATATATACCTTGAGATGAGTGTTCAAGAGTTACAGGTGAAATGGTATACTGGGGTGATATAATAAAACGTTTGAACTATGTAATAAACTTTTGAGGGGCACCCAGGTGGCTCAGTCAGTTAAGCTTCCGACTTTGGCCTAAGTCATGATTTCACGGTTCGTGGGTTCGAGCCCTGCATCAGGCTCTGTGCTGATAGCTAGCTCAGAGCCAGGGGCCTGTCTTTGGATTCTGTGTCTCTCTCTCTCAAAAAAAAAAAAAAAATAAAAATAAAAACAACACACACACACACACACACACACCTTTGAGCATTCACCCCTAATGTGTACATTTTTATTATTTTTAGAAACATTATGTAAATGTATATGTTTACAATATGTATTGCATATGTCTTATATAGATGAATGTTCAAAATGTTTCAAGAGCACTGATCTAGTTCACCCATTATCTCCTTAAATAAGCTAATGATCTGTACTGAGTCTTTATAACCTTCAACCTAGGTAGCATTTGACACCACTAATATTCCTTCCCTCTCATGTTTATTGAACTCCTATCTTATGCCAGAAATGATGCTAGAAATTAGGTATACAGAGATGTATAAGAAACATGCCCTTGCTTCTAAGTCTCAATCACTATTTTTGAATCACTGTTTTGAATCTCTACTTACCCTTGATTCCCTAACATTGATTTCCTAATCTATACTTTATTTCTTCAGAACTCTAAGACTCTTCAGTGCTGTTTTTTTGGACATGATTAAGTTGAGTAATTTTTTAGATGCATCAGGAAATATTGCATGGGAATATGACTTATTTAGCTTTTTAGTTTTGCACCTTTCATAAATTTATGCATTAATAGAAAGCTTCTGTGATATAGATAATTAAAACAGCAATTCCAAACACAAAGTAGTCAAAATAGTGACTTTTTTTTAATCATTAGTATGCAATCGCTTAGACAAGACCAGAAACAGAATGTTTCTCTATACTTCTAAATGCAACCCTAATACTGACAGGTCTATACTTAATAATTTATTTTGAGAAGGAAGAGAGGTATGGATAGACTTAGATTTCTGTAAGTAACCAGCAAAATATTCCTAAACATTCATGGAAAGTGGTCCACAGTCTAGGGGTAGATGGCCCAAGAGGCAGCACATTTCCCATGCATCTTATTAAACCAGGTCTTCAATCTGTATTGGAAAATTGGATGTAATTGGACCTCATATGACTAAAGATATAAAGGCAAAAAAAAGCTGTCTATAATTCTTTAAGACAGAACTATGATTGATTTTGTTATTGTTTTATAGTTAGGTTTATAACAATGAGATTTGGTTATTTGTAAAAAAAAAATCATATTTCTAATTACCACTTACTTTCCAGATTCAGTTTTTCACATGTAGCAGTGGACAGATCTATAGGACATTTATACACATCTCCCATTCTGTTCTCAGGAAAGCCACTCCAAGGTGAACCAACTAGTAACCTAGAAATAGGAATTTTTTTCATTAAATATAACATGTTAGCTATAGTTTCCTAAAGATTAAGGCTGACCACAAAATAATGAAAAAAAAAAACCCCGCATTTAATTTCAATTTTTAATAAGAAAATAGTAGTTCATATTTGTTCAGCTATAACTGGTTCTTTTTCCTTTCCTCTTAGGTGATCCAAATGCTTAAATGATTTTAATATTTTTAAATGATTTTAAATTTTTATTTTTTTATTTTAGAGACAGAGTGTGAGTGGGAGAGAGGGGTAGAGATGGAGAGAGAGAGAGAGAGAGAGAGAGAGAGAATCTTAAGCAGGCTCCACACTGAGCCTCCAGCACAGGGATCCCACTATCCTGGGATCATGGCCTGAGCCGAAAATCAAGAGTTGAATGCTCAACTGACTGAGCCATCCAGATGCCCCTGCTGATCCTGATTATGGAAATATAATGTAGGGCAAAAATGTGACTTGCATATGTAATTTAAAATTTTCTACTAGCTACATTAATACAATAAAAATCATAGGTGAAATTAACATAAATCATATATTTGATCTAACTTGATATATCCAAACTAATAAGCAGTCATTATAAAAATCATTTAATGAGATAGATATTTGACATTCTTTTTTCCATACTAAGTCTTTGAAATTCAGTGTGTATTTTATACCCAGTGCACCAATCAATATGGAGAAGTAACATTTATTTAAATTTTTTTTTAATGTTTATTCACTTTTGAGAGAGAGAAAGAGAGAGCACGCGCACGTGCATGCGTGAGAGACAGTATGAGTCGGGGAGGGATAGAAAGGGAGACAGAATCCAAGCAGGCTCCAGGTTCTGAGCTGTCAGCACAGAGCCAGACGTGGGGCTTGAAATCACTTACTGGGAGTTCATGACCTGAGCCAAAGTCAGTCACTTAACTGACTTGGCCATCCAGGTGACCCTGGAGAAGTAACATTTCAAGTGCTCAGTAGCCACGTGTAGCTAGTGGTTGCCATACTGGTCAGCACAACTTTAAAGGATGAATATCAAAACCAAAAAGGAAATATTAAATTATATTTGTATATTAAATAATATTAAAACCAAAAGCAAAAACTAACATTTGTTGAGTGCTCTTCTTGCCCTAAGCACTTTCAGATGTCAATTTACTTAGGGAGCACATGAATTATCTAAGTGGCTCTACTGTTTATTGTCTGAGGGGATCCTTAGCAAAAACAGAGCAAGTATACTATGGAGCTCTCCTTTCATGTAATGCATTTGTAGCCAGAATGCAGGATGCAGAGTTTGGAGACTGCTGCTCACATCCTTCTCTGGTTAGTTTCATTTCCTACAGAGGTTTTCCAACTAGAGACTATTTCCCTGTAGAACCACTCACCTAACATTTCTGGTCATGTAAGAATAGACAGAGTCCAAGTAAGAGTCCGATCTTTAGAATCTGTAGTAGGTTAATTACTAGTAGCAGCATTGAGTTACTAAGAAAGTACATTTGGTTCAATGTTTTTTCCTTGTCAAGGTTGGGAAAGATGAAATGAAACTTAAATTCTTTCATGAGCCTTCTGTATAAATGTTTTATCATTATTGATTAAATAACATGTGCCTCACACTAAGTGCCACATGCATACAGAAAGACAAAGTGTACTTCTGTCTACTAAATCTAGTAAAGCTGTTTAAAATACATGCCAAGTAAAACAATAACAGTACAAATGAACAGAAAGATATAAATAAGTTTCCCTCTGAAACAAACATTAAAATGGCCAGAGGATACAAAAATGATTATCAAAGGATGAAGGTGGCAGTCATCATTCTTAGCAGAAGGAAGAGTATGAATACAGAGGAAAGGGGAAAATACAGATTATTTTGAAAGACAGTTAATGATTCACATAGCTAGTAAGAGCCATGCGTAACTGATTCTGAAGCTCAAGCTCTTAACCCTTAGGTTATTTTTCTTCCTCTTAGCTGCAAGAAGGTCTGGCATAGGGCCCAGATTGGAAAAGCAATCTGAACAAATGGGTTGGGTTCCAGAATAATCAAGGAGTAGAAACTGGAAATGGTGGTCAAGCCATACTTACTGTGATGGGGGTGTGGCTGTGTGGTGTATAGGAAGGCTATGGACACCAGCCAAGGTCATCTGATAAACACACATCTCCACTGTAGACCCAGACTATACTGTTCATAATGTAGGTAATAGCAGAGTATGTTCAAATAGTACTAAATGTGATAATTCAGGTGACTTCTACTGTGCACATTTTCCATCCATCCTCACCAGCCCAAGAGAAACACATTGAAGAATAAAAGTTAAGTGTTTATCACCTAACATTTAACCATCCTGTTCTTCAGAGCCTTCGGCAGTAAAGCACCATCTGCTACCTATTTCTCAAGAGAAAGCTCAAAAGGCTACTTGCTGTCTTCTGTTGCCTAAGTGTTCCCTGGATACTCTCTGCTTCACTTTTTCCAGCCTCATCAAAGAATTCGGGATTTGATAATCTTGCACTCAGGAAGGGCTATGACATCTCCACTATTGTTGTGAGGGCTGTGGTCTCCTACATTAATCAGATGGAAAGAGAGAGAAAGAAGCATCTGTACAATTGTGTGCCTCTTAACAAAAAGGATGTGAAAGTACTTGAAATTCTCTCAAAGAATACATAGAAATCCCTGGCAGCATTATGCCATATTCAACTCTTAACACAAAACAATAGAAAACAGTGGAAAAACAGATCTATCATTCTGGTGACTGGTAAAGAACAAGCATGTCCTTATCATAAATGACTCATTTTTTAAATATGGTGAACCACATTAGTAAGACACCTACAGGTCATGCTAGTGACTGCAGAGAATGTTTCATAGACTGTTGTTAACTCCTTTATTGGCTACATTTCTGGTAAACTCTCTTTGCTTCCACCCGAAGGCCTCAGTGAAATTCCTGACAATTCATCCTCATAAGGAAAGGCTATGACATCACTGGTGGCTGCTCCCAGGGAATTGTGACATTCTTATATTAATCAGACAGGAAGATGAGGGAGGCTGGTATATTTATTTATAAAATCTTATGTAATCAGCTGTAACAGGAAGAAACATGCCAGGAGAGAATGTTACAAAGGTGGAGAATAGGATCGGTTAGTGAGTAAACCCTGCTGAAGTATGGCAAAGCTTCTTTGAAGTAATGGATTTAACTTAATCACTACCAGACAAAAGAGCTGCATGAACAGTCGTGTGTGCTGATTCTCAAAACAAAACAAAATCCCAAGACATAAACTCTTTTTTCCTACAGTGAAACTGGGAATTCTTCCAAGATGACTTAAAATAACACTTACTGTTCAATTATCTTGTGGGGAAATAGTGATTATGTAGAGTTCCAAAACATAGCCAATTTGCCCACCTCCAGTGGAATTCAAAATACTTTGTTTACTTAGTAAACAGTATTTATGGTGGTGTAGGTACTTTTAAACCCACAATCCAGGGACTGTTATAAATATCTTCCTTTGGTCTGTGAGTCTATAAACTCTCCGAGTGTTCCTTTAATACTAGCAATTTTTCTAGATTATTGACAGAGGTGTACTTAAAATAGTAGGGCAAAACATGTTTTATTCGATGTTACAGATGTTTATTGAGATTCTGTAAGGCTGAAATTTTGCATAACATCAGGGGGTACCACTTCCATATGAGTAGTGTGCTCTGGCCCTGTTAAGGACGCATCCAGTGAGGTTGTACATGGTGGCCAGACCTACTATGTGCCCGACTTGATTCTAGGCACTGGGGGTACATCAGTGAATACGTCAGTCAAAAATTTCTGGTCTTGTGGAACTTACATTCTAGTGGGAAAAGATAGGCAACAAATTTAATAAGTAAATAAAACATATCATGATGGTGATCAGTGCTCTGTGGAAAAAAATGAGCAGAAGAGTTAGGAGTGTAGCAGGATTCTCACACAGAGAGTTGACACCAAAGCTTTTCTTTCCATAAAGCAACTTTATTTGTGCTGGCACTGCTCAGTTGGGTTTGTACCCGAAGAACTGAGCCCTGAATGCCATGTGGTGTAGTTTTTTTTATACATTTTCTATTTCTTTGTTTCCATATATGGTAACACACAAACATGCAGTCTGATTAAGTGGTCTCATGTTACAAGGTTGTGAGGGATGTTGTCACGTATGCATGTAGCCAGGTTGCTTTGAAGGTTTTTGTTTTCTCCTTAGGGAGGGGACCCTATCAAATGAGTGTGGGGTGGAAGGTGTTGTAATCTTTATTAGAATGGTCAGGGAGGCCTCACTGAGAAAGTGTCATTTAAGCAAAGACTTGAAGGAGATAAAGAAGTAAACCATAGGATTCTGAAGGAAAAATAATCCAGGCTGTGGGAACAGCAAAAGCAAGGGCCCTGTGGCTAGACTGCTGTGATAAGGAAGAATGTAAGAGGAGATGTGGTCAGATGGGTCATAGGGCCAGATCCCATAAAACTGGTATGAAATTGTAAGAACTTGGCTTTGCCTCTGAGTGACCTGAGAAAGCCATCGAAGGTTTTTCAGCACAGTAATGATATGATCTGACATATTTTAGAAGGGTTTTGAAGGCTGCTCTCTTAAGCATGATTTCCCTGGGGAAAGGTGAAGAAGGTGAAGCATTTTGGAAACAAATGCAAAATTCAAGATGCATTCACTCAAAATGCAAGAAGAGACGAGGGGCTCCCACAGGGAGAAGTGATCTTATTTTTTATATATTTTGAAAGTAGGGCCAGCAGGATTTCTTGAGAGGTTAGTTTTATTTTTTTTTTAATTTCTTTTTTAATGTCTTATTTATTTCTGAGAGAGAGAGAGACAGACAGCATGAGCAGGGGAGGGTCAGAGAGAGAGTGAGATAGAATCTGAAGCAGGCTCCAGGCTCTAAGCTAGCTGTCAGCACAGAGCCTGATGCAGGGCTCAAACCCATGAACCGTGAGATCATGACCTGAGCTGAAGTCAGATGCTTAACTGACTGAGCCACCCAGGCGCCCCTTGAGAGGTAGTTTTAAA